CACTCTAGCAACACCTAGAACTTTATTGCAACCATCAAACAGAATATCCTAGCAACCATCCTAAATAACCTAGCAACCACCACCTACACAACACCTAGGACAGCTTAGCAAACATCAATCAGAGCGCCCCAGCAACCATCTAAATACATGCAAGAAAGCATCCAAAATATTGTAGCAATCATCAACCAGAACTTCCTAGCAACACCTTAACCTCTCTTGCAACCATCAAACTGAATATCCTAGCAACCATCAAAATAACCTAGCAACCACCACCTAGACAACACTTAGGACAGTTTAGCAACCATCAACCATAACGCCCCAGAAACCATCTAAAAACAGGCAAGAAACCATCAAAAATAACCTAACAACTATCAATCAGAATATCCTAGCAACCATTCCATAACCTAGTAACCACCACCTAGAAAACACCCAGGACAGTCTAGCAACCATCTAAAACAGCCAAGAAGCTATCTAAAATAACCTAGCAACTATCAAGTAGAACACCCTAGCAACTCCTAGAACTATCTTACAACCTTCAAAGAGAATACGCTAGCAACCATCCTAAATAACCTAGCAACCACCCAGACAACAGGATCATCCAGAGCAAACCATCAACCATCTGAAAACAGGCAAGAAACCATCCAAAATAACCTAGCAACCGTCAACCAGAACACCCTAGCAACACCTAGAACTCTCTTGGAACCATCAAACAGAATATGCTAGCAACCATCCTAAATTACCAAGTAACCACCACTTAGACAACACCTAGGACAGCCTATCAACCAGAACACCCCAGCAACCATGTAAAAACAGGCAATAAACCATCCAAATTAACCTACCAACCGCCAGGCAAAACAACCTAGCAACACCTTGAACTTTCTTGCAACCATCAAACAGTATGTCCTAGCAACCTTCAAAATAACCTAGCAACCAACACCTAGGACACCCTAGCAACTATCAACCAAAGCGCCCCAGCAACCATCTAAAAACAAGCAAGAAACCATCCAAAATAACGTAGCAACTATCAATCAGAACACCCTAGCAACACCTTGAACTCTCTTGCAACGATCAAACAGAATATCCTAGCAACCATTCTAAATAACCTTGTAACCACAACCTAGACAAAACCTAGGACAGTCTAGCAACCATCTAAAAACAGCCAAGAAGCTATCTAAAATAACCTAGCAACCATCAACCAGAACACCCTAGCAACTCCTAGAACTCTCTTACAACCATCAAACAGAATACGCTAGCAACCATCCTAAATAACCTAGTAACCAACACCTAGACAACACGATCACCCAGAGCAAACCATCAACCATCTGAAAACAGGCAAGAAACCATCCAAAATAACCTAGCAACCACCAGGCAGAACACCCTAGCAACACCTTGAACGTTCTTGCAACCATCAAACCGAGTGTCCCGGCAACACTCAAAATAACCTAGCAACCACCACCAAGGACAGCCTAGCAACCATCAGCCAGAACGCCCTAGCAACCATCTAAAAACAGGCAAGAAACCATCCAAAATAACGTAGCAACCATCAATCAAAATACCCTAGCAACATTCTAAATACCCCAAGAGCGATTCATTCCACTGGTTGATATTGCTATACCATTTAGTGTATGTTGTTATTGTTCTTAATATTTTCCTTGTAAGATAATATATATATATATTTATATAAATATCCAGTATGCTGATTTTTTAGATTTTTGGCAACCTCTGCTCTAGAAACCAGCCAAACACTTCAGTGGGTAACTAGACCAGCATCATTTAATCAGTCTGAGAGCTTCACTGTCAGCTCGTGTAGTGTTATTCGGCTAAACACACAATGTTTTGAGGACACAAACCGCTGCATTAATCAGTGTCTATCATTATGTTTCATGCCTTTCAGCCTCTGCTGGCTTCCCTCATTAGAGCCAATAAAAACAATCAACAATCAAAACAATGGTGACTTAATCAAGCAGACACATCATTATCTCTGTTGACACAATCTTAACGGTATTTGAAGGACCGCCTTGGGGAAAGTCATGCAAAAATATTTTTTATTATTAAGATTGACGCATGGTGGAGGCGACATGGTGGTTCAGTCGCATCACAGTAAGAAGGTTGCTGGTTCGAGTCCCGGCTGGGTCAGTTGGCATTTCTGTGTGGAGTTTGCATGTTCTCCCCGTGTTGGCGTGGGTTTCCTCTGCTCTGTTTTCCCCCACAGTCCAAACACGTGCGCTATAGGTGAATTGAATAAGCTAAATTGGCAGTAGTGTATGAGTGTGAATGAGTGTGTATGGGTGTTTCCCAGTACTGGGTTCCAGCTGGAAGGGCATCCGCTGTGTAAAACATATGCTGGAATAGTTGGTGGTTCATTCCACTGTGGTGAACGCTGATTAATAAAGGGACTAAGCCGAAAAGAAAATGAATGAATGAGATATTTTGAAGAATGCTGGTTAGCTGGCATCCATTGACTTCCATAGAATTGTTTTTCCAAATATTAAAGGCACGGGCTGAACGCATTTTTCAAAATATCTTCTTTTGTGTTTAAGAGAAGAAACTCTACAGGTTTTAAAGGGTGAGTAAATGATGACCGGATTGTAATTTTTAGGTGATCTATCCCTTTAACCTGCTAGTGGATTCAAGTAGGTAACGCTGCAGCCCGGTGACCTCCAAGTGGGAGGGATTACACCGCAAGTAGGTTGGGTCACCTCCAAGTGGGAGGGACTTAAACGGCAAGTAGGTTGGGTTCAAGTGGTGTAGGTGGAGTTCACATTAATAAAACACATCAGGTTACTGTGAGGTTGGGTTTAGGTGTCGCCGTTAATAAAACACAACCGGTTACTCTTGAGGTTGGGGTTAGGTGTACACATTCATAAAGCACAATATTGAACTCTAAATATCATGAAATAAATTAAATAAAAACTCCAGATTTGCACAGCCCTTTTTGAGCTCGAAGGCCCACCCGCTTGGACCTGGCTCTGACCTGTTTATACCCTTCTCAGCGGATTTGTGTGGCTGTATTGTGTTGTGCTGCCTGCAGAGGGAGCCAAAGCATGGGTTGCATTATGAATGTATGGAAAGTAACATAATGCATACATTATAATGAATATTGCCGAACTGGACATAGACACATGACAATTTGTGCAAAAAAAATGAATGAGCATAACATTTATAACACATTCAGGTTCACTTGGATAAAAAAAAACATTCTAAAAACAATAAATAAAATAAATACAACATTATTTTATTATGCTAAATACACATTTTAATTAGCTAAATACATAATAATAGATTATAAAAGACTACAAATTATGATATGTCATATCTCAAAAAAACTGACAAACATTTGTATATGTATATATGTGTGTGTGTGTGTGTGTGTGTGTGTGTGTTATGTGAAAAAATTCTACCTGACAAGTCTTGTCGCCTTTCCAAGTTTTAGGAACAACAAATGTTATCTTGACTTCTAGTTGATCATTTGGTATCAGAAGTGGCTTATATGAAAGGCAAAGGCCTCTAGATTACGCTTATTTTACCACAATAAAATCTGATCATGCCTTGATTTTTAATGATTTCATTAGGACAGTAAGCTCTGACTTTGCTTAGACAAAAGTCTTGTCACTGAACAGAAATAATGTCCAGTATAGAATATAAAGTCCTGCTGCAGTGGAGACAGAATGAATATTGTGTCTGACTCCATCATGAGCTTGGAGGACTGCATCCATACATCTCTGACATGACTCAAATCACCGATTAATAAAGTCATCTGGAATGGCAAAGAAAGCGTTCCTGCAGGACTCCCAGAGTTCATCAAGATTATTTGGATTCATCTTTAATGCCACCCCTTCATCCTAACCCGGACATGCTTAATAATGTTTAAGTCTGGTGACTTGGCTGGCCAATCCTGGAGCCCATTGACCTTCTTTGCTTTTAGGAGCTTTGATGTGGAGGCTGAAGTATGAGGAGCGTTATCCTGCTGGAGAATTGTCCCTCTCCTTTGGTTTGTAATGTAATGGGCAGCACAAATGTCTTGATACCTCAGGCTGTTGATGTTGATCATCCACTCTGCAGATCTCTTACACAGCCCCATACTGAATGTAACCCTAAACCAAAACTTTTCCGTCCCCAAACTTGACTGATTTCTGTGAGAATTTTGGCTCCATGCTGGTTCCAGTAGGTCTTCTGCAGTATTTGTGATGATTGGGATGCAGATCAACAGATGATTCAGCTGAAAAATCCACCTTCTGACACTTTTCCAAATGATCAACTAGAAGTCAAGTTATTATTTGCTGCTCTTACAACTCTTATAACAATATATATATATATATATATATATATATATATATATATATATATATATATATATATATATATATATATATATATATATACACTTTTTAAATGTATGCAATTATTTTATTTTGAAACCTTTTCATTGCAATATTTGTTGTTTTGTTAGAAATAGTTATATGTAATACATATATTAGGAAGAATTAAATCAATGGAGTTAAAACTGTTAATTCTGATCTAATAATTACATACATTGATAAGTCAAATAAAATTACTCATCAATATTGAATATAGACTGTTTTATAAAACAACAATTCTTCCATGTGAACAGAGTTTACAGATTAATTCACTTTAAAGGGTCAAAATATTTAAATAAATTAAAATATACCTAGTTCAACCTTGTTAAACCATCTAACATTGTCAATCCGATGCTGAATTAGGCGATGTTCAAATCATAATTTCTGATTTAACACAATAGATAGCCTCGCATTAAAAACCCCTGTATTCTGTCAAACATCTGCATTAGCTGTACTACATTCCACCACACATCTATAGATTAATAATAACCCATAATTACTTCAGTGATTTAATCTATCCTCATTTAAAATGCTGGGAAGTAAAAAGAAATGAAACAAAAACCAGAGACCACTCAAACGTGCAGTTTGGGGGAGGACGGAAAACAGAAATCATGACACAAAGAAGAGGAAGTGGAAAACAAAAACGGTTTGTAGTTGGGAATTTAATGGATGTCTTTGTGAGCAGAGCAAGCGTATGGTTTACAAACACACCTCATCCAACAGAAAACTGATCAGCCAAATGAAACGTCAAACACGGTGGACGTATTAAGCATGTACACGAATGAAGCCGGCGATGTGGCAACACATAAATATTTGGATGCTCCTGACAGCAGTTTGAGTTCAAAGGTCAACCTCTAATGCTGATGATACACAGGGCAACTTTTTGAGCAATGCTGCTGTAAATAAACTGTTCTAGATAGGGTAATGGGCTAAATACAATACTGTTGCCCATTCTTAATAAAAAAAAATAGCCAAGCAACATCGCTCTGCAAAATTGCCCAATAAACATTGCCCAAAAAGTTGCCCTGCATATGTATAATCAGCATAAGAACGCACTAAAATTAATTATGTGATGCAAAAGTACATTAGAGTTCGCACTTTTGAAGAAGATCACCCAATAAATGTCTTTACATGCATTAAAAAAACAGTACAAATCAGCACAGATGTTGGTTTATCAAACATATTTACACACTATTTATTTATCCTGGTCACCCTGCCTATGGATTTGACCTTACTCTAGTACTCTAGATGTGTACTCATCTGGGACGCCTCTGTTTGGAGCGCGGCGTTGAGGACGTACCCGAGCTCTGACTGGAGACGTGGGCCAGGCCCGGCAGACTATTGGCTAGCTTTGCCAATCCGCCGTTGGTCAGGAGCTGGTGGATGGCTGTGGTTTTGGTCATCCCGGAGCCTGTGGACACCATCGGCACTGCCCGCACTAGAGTACCACTGCCTGGGCTTAGAGAGCTCAACACCTGCCCCTGACCCTGGGGCTTTCCTCCGGACACCTGAAACGCAGGTGAGGATCACGGTTGATCTGTGATCTGTACGGATAACAACCCCGGCGTTGACGTATGTGTGTATTAGCTGTGTTTTACCTACCTGTGTGGTTGAGGGAACGCCTGGAGATTTAGTGTTGATCTCCTGCAGACTGAGGCTGAGACCTTGCAGCAGACTGCTGGCAGAGGGAGCTAAACACGCATATAAACACACACCCAGTCAAAAGGATGTTCCACACCTACAAGTTTGAAGGTTGAATGAATTTGAAGGTACCTTGTGCAGTACCGGCGGCCTGGACAGGCGAGGAAGAGCGTGAAATAACGCTCCCCTGCAGACTGTGAAACGAGCCCTCGCTAGAGGCCAAAGCTCCAGACACCTCTGCTAAGCCTCCTGACCTGCAAGAGCACAGAACAGAGGAGCAGAATAAGGCCACCGTCAACATTTGCTGCGTTTCAATCCACCTGTTTTTATGTGCATTTTGGAATATTGCATTAAAAAAAAAACCTTGGATTGAAGCACCAAGATGAGCTTAAATTGAAAAAATGTGCATAAAACTAATGAGTAGGATAAACTTTCTATTTGATAAGAAAATGTGTATGAAATACGATGGAAACGCATTTACAGAATAAACTCCAACATGTGCATCAAAAAAGTCATGGGATTTTGCTTCAACAGATCATGTGATGACAAAAATGGCGGAAAGGTAGTGAGAGCGGAGATGATTCTAAAAGGATACGACTATAGCCCCTTCCACACATACAGACCTTTCCGGAAAATTACCGAAGTGTTGTATGTGTGAACAGGTCCTTTTTGAAAATACCGGTAAATTCGTTCCGGCTATTTTCCGGAAAGAGAAGTTGTAACATTACCGGTAATTTGCCGGAACGCTGCGCTGTGTGAACGCAGAAGGAAGATTGCCGGAAAGAGCGCGTCCACGTCTAGAACATGCTGACATGAGACACCTGCTTTAGTCAATCAGAACAGTCAGACGCATTCACGTCCTCGTGGTTTATGAGAATAAAAGCCTTTGAATATTTTACGATAACGTTTTATATGTTCTTCTTACGTTTTTATGTTCTTAATGCCAACCGTGTAAATAATCATCGATAAGATGCTTATGATAAGCCGCTGTTTGTTTACCTTCAAGCTTTGCATGTGCCTGTGAAACAGCCTGTGAGCGCCAACACACACACATATTATGAACATTTCGACATGCGAAAGAGATCCTCCATATGTTTTCAACGAAGTTGTTCACAATACTGATCATCCACAGAGTTTGTGATGTAGTCAAATGTTTACAAATACAAGCGCAGCCGTTTAGAGCTCATTTGTGGTGAATGATGTCAGAGATTACCGGTATTTTGGAATGGATGTGTGAATGGTCTTTTCAGGAAAAATTCCGTAACGTCCTCGCCTGTGTGAACAGCGCTTTTTTAAAAATACCGGTAAAGTCGTTCCGGAAATTTTCCAGATATTTACCGGTATCACTGTGTGAAAGGGGCTAATGACATCATGGTTTCTGCTACATTCATTCTTCCTTGGCGGGGCGCCACACCAAAATTCATCCCGCCACGGCTGCATTACAACTTCCTATTCAAAATATTTGATCGTTTTTTAAAAAGCGGGTTAAAATCGCACCGAAAACGTATTAAAAGGTAAGTGAATAATAACAGCGCAAACTTTTCTGTGACCGTAGTAGTGCTGTGCGTTCTGTTAAACCCTTTAAGGTGGCGTGCTGACTGACTGACTGACTGACAGGTGCATGAGGCCAGCAAACACGGCGTAGCTTTCAGTTATGATGAACACAGTTTCCATTATTATACTTTATTTAAAGATAAAGGTCTGTGGCTCTACATATAATTACTTTATCTTTATCTCGAGTTTTTAGCCTTTTCACTTTACTTCAGGACGCATTAATGCTGCGGTCCGCTCCGCAAGTCTATCGGAGACATTCATAAATATTCCTAGCAAATCTAATAAATGTTGGAGAAGTACTTGCTACATAAACGCACTAAATCACACTTTAGCCGCGTTAATTTGAGGGCGCTCAAGAAAATCTGCACTTGAGCAGCGTTTATCTGAGGGCGCGCAAGAAGTTTTGTGCACGAACAGAGGAAATCGGCGCTCAAGCAGAGATTGACATGCTCGTAGGCTATTACATGAATGCGATCTCGACTTAATACTGCGCCCACGACATTTGTCAATAAAAATAAATCCACATGTAGTGGTAGATCTGTGTAAAATGCCCAACAGAGTCTGCCGCCACAGCTGGAAAAAATCCTAAAATGTAATTAGGTTATTATATATAAAAAAAGGCCCTCTAACGCAGAATCCTCCATTTTTCTTTTGATATTTGGCGCCAGGTTATCAGGAAGAGATGATTTTGTTTTAGATGGAAACAGTGTTTTATTTGCAAATGTTTTATGCAATATTCCAGTTTTGGATGGACACATGGTTAGTGATTAGGGATGAGTATCGTTAAGGTTTTAACGGTATTACTACTTTTATCGATACCACTTATCGGTTCGGTACTTAAACGGTTTTCTTGTCGGTTCTTTTTGTAGTGTTTTTAAATGACAAAAACAAAAAACAAATTGAACAGAGTTAACAACTATATTTTATGATAAAATTCTAAAATGTAAAATAAAACGAAACAGATAATTGTAAAACAAATAAATATAGATTTTTTCCTGTTAAGAATGTACAATGGTTTGGAGGAAAAATTACTCTGTTTTTAAGCATTCTTAAAGGGACCTTTACTGTGCTCCCTGCAGCTGATATACCCTCTTTGAGTTGCAAAATGCAGGTAAATGAGATAATGTTTATGAATTTTTATTAACGCATTCACATAAATGAGTTAACAGTGTTTTGGGAATTAACTGTGTTTTTTACACAGTTTTGAAGCATCTTGCAATTTAAAAACAAGCTAGTTTTTTTTATAATTTCTTAATAAGTATAGTTTATTATTAGGTTATTCATATGCTATATTTGTAAATACAGCTGATGTAAAGGCATTTTTAATGTTTAAGATTTATTTAGGCTACTGCAGAAAAAAATACTGTTTTAATTGTAACCAAATAAGTGTTTAACAATTAAAGTTCTACTAATTTAGGTGATTGACTGCTGCCGTAACGATGTAGATGATGTAATGTTACCATTAGTAGCTAGGCAGCCAATTTTTCATTACAGTATATGCACTTTTGAAAGATACCTTCACTTAGCCAAATTGCTTGCGTTTCCGCTTATACAAGACAACAACCTGTTGCGTTTGTTTCAACGGGCATTGTCGCTGTCTACTCCGGAAATACAACCTGTTTGGTTTACTCTGCAAGCTTACGAGCTGTGTGAGTCTGTGTCCGAGCTAATGTGTGTGTGTGCGCATAGCGGAGAACTGTGAAGGCTTTTATACTTGACGCGCTCGCTGGAAACACAAGCCTTTGCATCATGTGAAATGGCCAACTCTGCATACGAATATCAAATATCTCCAATTAGAAAAGGTTGGTCAGTTCTATTATGCTACTGTAAGTAATGTACAGACAGCAGAACCGTTAACGTCTGAGCTTGTCGATAGTTCGGCCTTTTATAACATAGAACCGATACCGATAAAGTACAGAGTTTCGGTATCCATCCTAATGTATGTCTAAAATCTAAAATAAATGTTGTTTGTTAGAAAACCCTGATAATATGTGATTTATGACACTTTCTATGCCTCAGCATCAGTGAAAAGATTTGAATTTAGCAGCTGATGACATAACTTTAAAATCACATGGTGTGACCATGCGCAACCTATAAAGGTTGATAGTCTTTTTTCTTTTGAACACTGTACAATCTGGTGTTGAAAGATAAAGGTACCTTTGTGCACTGAGAAGCTCAGACAGTTCTTTGGCCCCTGATACTGTCGTCTGGCCCACTGTCAGACCGAGAGGCTTTCCTGACAAACCCACTGTAAACACAAAGACAAAAAAACTTAGTTTACAGATATTTTCGATTAAAAAATTCCTATTAAATAACTTAATCATGAAGCAAATAAAGTCATAAATCTACCTGCATGAATCAAAACTTTCCCAAATGCTTAACTATGTATCAAACAGTGGTCTCAGGCCCCGTTTACACTAGTGTGTTTTAGTTTTAAAACAGCGTTTTAGATCAAAAACGATCCGCATCCACACTAGCGGTTCACCTAGCATTTCTGAACATATCTCCGTCCACAATACGCCACCAAAACGTATATCACATGACCATTCGCGCACTCTGGGCATGCGCGTTCTAGTATAAACAGGAAGCATGTGTCTCGCTCGACATTTGGTTATTGTTAGTCAACAAACGCCGGTCGAACAATGAATGCGATGGCAAAGAAAGCAAGAGAGGTATTTTTGTGGACAAACGACGAGGTCGAGTTGTTACTAAACGTAACAAATGAATAACTGCACAATGCTGCCTAAAACATACAATAGTGCAAACAACGCTCCCATTTCTGTGTTGTTGTTTACAGTGAAGGCTGGTCTGCTGTCTTCCAGTAGCGTTAAAGCCATGTGTTATAGTCATGTGATAGGGGCTTGACGAATAAGGGAAGGATACAAAATGACACAAAAGCCCCAATCAGGTAGCGAATCTCAGCAGCCCCGCCTCCGTTTTCAGATGTCTCTGTTTTCCCCCATCCCCACTGAGACGAAGCAGCAGCGTTTCAGAATTAAAACAGCTAATCTAGCGTTTACAAAACACTCTGTTTTCGGCACTCGAAAACTCCAGCGTAATGTGGACGGATGGCGTAACCGTAGCAAAACTAATGCGTTTTCAAACTAAACACACTAGTGTAAACGGGGCCTCAGTGGCTTGAATGTCTCTTTGGTTTTCATTACCTTCCTGAGCAGTGGAGCCAGGGGTGTTTCCCGCCGCGTCTCCGTGTGAAACGATGGTGACTTTGATCTTGGCTCGTTTGGAGGCTTTGGTTGGTGTTGGACTGGGAGTTTGTCTCCTCTTGAGGTGGACCCTCATGTCGTCTCGCTCTAAACCCTCCACCTGCTCACTGGGCACCGGCACTGAAACACACCAGGAGGAAGAGTTAAACAGCCTGCCATAGTGTCAAGCTTACTAATAGCCAGTGCCCGGTTGCATGAAAGTCCTTAAGTAATTTAACTTAAAGTCCACATGAACCGGAAGCCGTGACATTTTTTGTTTCGTACTGTGACGCAGTTCCTAGAGAAACGGAATATAAAATGAGAAAACAGTGGAGGGGCTTGTTTTTTCTACAGCGAGCTGATTGGATGTAGTAAAGTAGGTATTTCATTCAGCAAGTTCAAGAAAAGGGTTTGAGGAGAGTTATTAAATCCTAACAGACTCCTCCTGCTCAGCATTTCTGTTTGTTATGCCTCACTCACACGGGGCTTCAGCGTCAACGCTTGACTGAAGGCGTGTCTGAAGTTGGGGCTGAAGCGATCGTCATAGAGGCGTCAGCCAATGAAATTCAGTCAGCAATAGGCCACTGTCTAGCTGGTGTATTTGCATACAGCAATCTGATTGGCTGACGCTTCCGTCGGAAGTGAAGCGTTCAGTTTTTCCCACTTACAAACTCCGCCATGTAAATAGCAAATGCACCATGAAGCGACACAACTGACTCCTAAAGGGAATGGGAGATGAGCTCTGATTGGTTTCATGCAGGTTATGCTCAAAACACAACCAGAACTCATTAAGAGATTAAGCACAACCCTGTTAGACCATGCTCCAGGGTGCAAACCGTATTTTTCTATTCTTAAAATAGCAAAAATGGATACAGTCACACGCTTTATGCTTTGCACCATGCGCTTTAGACTTTGCGCCTAGATCGTTAAAACAGAGTCCTATATATGTAGGAGCTATAAAACAGGGCTCTGGGAAGAGATTAAGTTGTAAGAAAACCGTATTCATATCGGAGTAAAGCATAACATTACGATTTCAGTTTTTTTCCAATTCTGTGCAGCCCTATTGCAGCCAAAGAAGATTTCACATTTTTAAGCAATTGTTAAAAGGTAGAAGTGAACTATTTGACACACACAAACAACTTTTAGTAAAGAAGGACAGATGCGAGGGGCAGACAGATGGACAGGGTTTCTGCAGGTTTCACCAAAGACCATTATGAACACAATTTCAGACTTACACAGAGCTAAACCCTAAGGATTTTTATTTGCCCCATTAAAAACAAATCTAATTTCTTGAATAACATTGTGTTAAAAACAGAAAACCATACATACACAAATATTTTTCAATGTAACTTTGACCAGTCTGCCCACGTGAGTGTCCTCACAACATATGGTCTATAAATAGATGTAGCACTTACAAATGTTATTGTGAGGGAGATAATTCAACCACATTTGTAAACAGTTTTACTAAAGAGATTTGTTGAGATGGATTGTTGGTGACTGTACGGGTTTTGGCTTGATTGGGTAGCTTTACATGGACATTGGAAAATTAAGAACCGTTTAAAATAATTTAAAGAGTCACGAAACACCAAAACACATTTTTAAAGATGTTGACAGTCATATATGTGTCCCACGCTGCCAAAAACACTATTAGGACACACAGTATATTTCACTAAAAAGTGAAAATTGGTTGTTTTTGCGTTATTTCGAGCAAATTCTTTCTTCCGGTTTGAGAAGAAATATTGAAGCTACGTCACGTCGATTAGATCCTTGTGTCAATTCCAGCATATAGACTGGATGTCTGTATCGGCGGGTACAACGTGATGTCTTTGAGCTTTCAGCATTAATTCCGGAATGAAAGTGAAAGTGCCAAACTGCAGTTAAAGTCTACAAATTAATAATTTGGCAAATCATTTGATTACTGATGTCCAAGTGAACACACTCACTGTCTGTCTCCCCTGCGTCTGTGTGTTGTTTTGCCTCTGTGAAAATCAGCGCGTGCCCAAACTGAAACTCCAATTTTTATGCAAAACATCCCTTTTTCCCTCCCCTGACACTCCTACCTAAACAGACCAGGACTCACCCACTTTCCTAACTTTTTTCAAACTAGAGGTGTGAAAACACACTGTTGAGACAGGGGGGTTTCATAGCCCTTTAAAACCTACTACCCCGTGAGCCTAAATTTTAGCTTTTTGAAATTAAGATTTTAAGACCATGCAGAGACACCCTGGATGGAGGAGAGGAGGAAAAAAAAGAGAGGGAGAGATACTCACCAAATAGACATGAAGGGCTGCCAGGAGGAATGCTTTTCCTCACCAGCATATTATGTTTCATAAAAGCAGCGAACTGAGCTGTAGCGAACGGAAGACAAAGATGGAGAGAGTGAAGAAGGAAAGGATAGAAAAGACAGGAATCACACACAACATTACTGCTTAGTGCGATCTGAGAGTCTCCTCAATATGAAGATGTGACTGTACAGCCAACGTCAGCTCTCTGTGCATTTTTAAACGGTTAACCATGTGGCCCTTGCATTGTAACATGCACAGACCATCATGCAAAGTCAATCAAACTATTTAGCTGCTTTTTCCACTGTGCGGTATGGTACGGTTCGGCATGGCTCGGCTCAGTTTAATTTGGCTAGTTTGCATTTCCACTCAAGTTTAATACGATGGACACTTTTCACAAGACTGTTATGACGCGTTTAACAGTCACCAGTATCTTAAATCTTTGAAAGTTTTTAATATTTTGATTTTTAGAACAAATTATGCATATACTAGTGTGGGCCACGATACTGGAATTCGGTACCAAAATTTTAAAAACATCAATTTCCCGCCAACATTTGAGCGTGTTCTTAAACAGTGCTGATTTGTCATTGTGTTTACATGATTAACAGAAATGACTGTGATTAGTAGTGAATGTCAACAGTTCACCGAACTCACCGCTGTTTACTGAGTGTAAACATAGATACAAGGCGAGGCAGTGGCGCAGTAGGTAGTACTGTCGCCTCACAGCAAGAAGGTTGCTGGTTCGAACCTCGGCTCAGTTGGCGTTTCTGTGTGGAGTTTGCATGTTCTCACTGCCTTCGCGTGGGTTTCCTCCAGGTGCTCCGGTTTCCCCCACAGTCCAAAGACATGCGGTACAGGTAAATTGGGTAGGCTAAATTGTCTGTAGTGTATGAGTGTGTGTGTGTGGATGTTTTCCCAGAGATGGGTTGCGGCTGGAAGGGCATCCGCTGTGTAAAAACTTGCTGGATAAGTTGGCGGTTCATTCCGCTGTGGCGACCCCGAATTAATAAAGGGACTAAGCCGACAAGAAAATGAATGAATGAACACAGATACAGGAACACTGGAGTGTTTTAAAGCTGCGTAGATCAGCTGCTCTGTTTATAAGCTGACATAAAAGCTAGCCGCTGATGATTTGACTGATTTACACGGCTTGAAAACACTCCAGTGTCCAGGGTTTATCCAGTATTTATTAAACTTAAAGAGGTTTAATGTGTATTAATTAGGTCAGAAACCTTACCAGGGTTCAACACTAAGGATTTTTTCTACTGGTCTGATCGGGCCAGTGGTTCAAATTTTTACTTGCCCTGCCTAAAATTTTCACTGGCCCCACCAAAAAAAGTAAGGGAAGTTAATAGCTATTTTTTAGCCACATATTTTAAATGATGTGTCAAAAATAAAGTCTGTGAATCTAGAATTTTAATACTTAAAAAAAATTGTGAATAAAAGTGTTATGCAAACAAAAAGAGCAGTATGGAAAATGTGGAGGTATTTTATTGCGGTTTGAAATTATTTAACAAAGGGTGGCTGACTTGTCAAACTGACGGCAAACTGTGCAACTGTGTTTTTTTTTTTGCGTTGTTCACATGTAAATTTCTGCTTTCAAGACGTTGGAAACAGACATTTTCTTTTAGCCTTAGAATTTGATGTTGCCGCCATGTTGCCATTTCTTCGCTGTACTGGTTGTTACCAGGTTACGAAAAAAAATACAATTCTCAATCAGATAAGAGGAACCAGAAAGCAATATGGTGTTTACGACATCACAGAGAAGGTAGTGTTTAAAGACTTAAAAGCACAAACTTAAAATGCACGCAATTGATAAATAGTCACAGACAAATTAAATGTTAGTGACAGGGCAGCACTGTCCCAATCGGGCCAGTAATGATCCGGTCTACTGTCCCAAGTGTCTGTCATGCTGGCCCTGGGCCACCGGGCAGTCCTTATTGTTGAGCCCTGCTTACCATATGCGTTGGAGTGCAGTGAGTGCACTATTCTGTGCTTCTGAACGGCTGTATTTACATTTCTGTTGTGTTATGTCTGGTGCAAACAGCTAAACTGCTTATCACTGCAAATATCTTCTTGTAGCGTGTTGTTAGGACACGGTTAAATGTAACCTGCTCACCTCATGTTAACGTTCATAATATTTATATTATTTGCTAATTTATAACCTCATGTGAAACTCTGAATCTGCGTCCCATTTCAGAGTCTGCTACTGTCCACCAGACGCATGCTCTGAGAGCCTTTCTAAATGAATGAAATATGCTGTGTTCATGAAGGCAACCCGGGGTGCTGAAATATAATTGGCTTAAGTGGCAGTGGGCGAGTTCAAGAGACCAAAACAAAGACAGCCGTTGTGGAGCGTGACTCACATTTTCAAAGCAGAATATCTGACACCAGCATTGTTTTTTAATCAAACAAGAATCTTCACTTAGCATGTTTCTTAAATATCTGCAAACATATTAAGCTATTTTTATGTTTTAGAAGTCAAAAACTTACATACAGCACTTTTAACCTTGCCTGACATGGTATCAGGTACATAAGGCAGTGGAAAATTAAGCGGTAGCAAATCGTAATACCATACAGTGGAAAAGTGCCTCTTGTAGCCCATCAGGCTAAAAACATTAATAACAGCACAGACAAACTGTAAGAATGCATCCTACATGTGTGTGTCCTTAGACCGGTGATCTGTGTGTTTGAAGCTGGAAAGATGCGTACCTTGTGCTTGTTTGTGTGTGAGTACAGTTCCAGAACGCTGCATGTGGGTCTTCAGCAGTTGCGTGGCAGTGATGAGACTGGATTTCTGAGCTGGAGAAAGGCCGACAGTCTTGGGTTTGGGACTGGCTGTGGGACTGCTGCAGACACTGGACATATCCTAAAGGGGAAATGTCATTGTTTTTAGATTAAGGGAGTTATGTATTCTGCAACATAAGGGTTAATGGGCTATATGTACAGCTAGTGTTTTCCCCCTACTGATAAATAAGGTTAATGTGACTATTTTCAGTTTCATACAGTTCCTTTTACAGCGTGGATGTTGTGATGTAATTATAATATAATCCGTTAAATAGATTAATTTAGTTGTTCAAGTGTAAAACGAGATGAAAAGTCGTGTAAACGCTAGCGCCAATCAGTAGCAACAGGCTAGCCCAGAATTCAAAAGAGAGCTAATAATTGTGACTTCAACTCAATATATGGTTTTGTTTTTTTTTTAAAGCTAACATTTGAGTGTGTTCTTAAACAGCGCTGATTTGCCATTGTGTTCACATGCTCAACAGAAACGACAGTGATTGGCCGTGAAGATCATCAGTTCACAGATACAGGGACACTGAAGTGTTTAAAGTGATGTTGATCAGCTGGTTTGTCTATAAGCTGACATACGAGTGATCTGCCGATGAATCGCGGCTTTAAAACGCTCCAGTGTCCCTGTATGTGTGTTTACACTCAGTAAACACTATCTTGTAGCTAATCTTGTTCATATCGCCACACCTTCTCGAACACTCAGGTTTTCTTCTTCCATTCACCTCACTGTTCCCTCTGTCCGCCTCGTCACCATGGGGAGGAGATCCTTCAGCCACTCTGCTCCTCGGCTTTGGAATTCACTTCCTCCTGATCTCCGTAATTTAGACTCTATTTCACAATTTAAGTCCAAACTCAAAACACATCAGTTTAGAACAGCCTATTCTCTTTGACCTGATTGCATTTTTAAAGTTTGTATTGTATTCTATTGTTTTTACTGTGTTTTTATTTAAATTGATTGTTTTAGCTGTCCTGTACGGTGACCTTGAGTGTCATAAAAGGCCCCTTTAAATAAAATGTATTATTAATAATATTATTATTATTGAACAAAAGTGAGTTTGGTGAACTGATGACCTTAACGGCCAATCACAGTCATTTCTGTTAAGCACGTGAACACAATGACAAATTAGCACTGTTAAAGAACGCACTTAACATCGCTCAATTGTTAGCGGAAATGTATGTTTTTAAACTTTCAGTATCGATTGGTAGCAAATTCCAGTATCATGACAACCCTACTGTATATTATCTGATAAAATGTCAAATGCTTTACCATACATACGTCACCATATGCACCAACACTTCCTACAGCACATTTCAACTTGTTTGTTGTCAGAATATTACTACCTCTGAACCAGAAGGAGAGATGGGTACCCTCACAGCAGGTGAAGACGGCCGAGACCTGTCAAGGTCAAAGGGCAGCTCGCGGCGAGGCTTCTTCTTCTCAGCATCTAAATCACGTGTTTCACCAGAGCCATGGCCGTGACTCTCAGAGCGGGTCAAAACTCCAGTCAGAAAATCAACAATCTCGTCCTGAAAACAAAAACAAAAAAAGGGGGTGGATTCAGACTATAGAACTCACAAGACGAATTTTTTTTACATTATATTTCTGATCCCGTAACTCCGGGGTTGGTTGTTTTGGGAAATTTAAACTGATGCTTAATAGATTGTAAACGTATACTTTACAGGGTTTATACACATTTTTACCCAAAAATTCCAGGACTTTGAAGTAAATTTTCATGACCTATTGTTTCATGTGATGTCTACGTATACATGGTAAATAATAAGAAAAACAAAGCACGTTTAAATCTATCACAGCATATCATAAAAACACACAACAATCTCTTCAGTTTCAATTTATTTTATATCTATGTAAAATTAGGTAAATGCTAGGGCTGCACGATACATCGTTTCAGCATCGAAATCGCGATGTGCGCATCCGCAATAGTCACATCGCAGGCGGTGCGATGCAAAGCAAAAATAAATTATATATATATATATATATATATATATATATATATATTATGGGTGGAGCCGAACATGAATACAGTATTCAGATAAGCACGAATAGCGTGTTTTTACCAATACTTATTTCGAACAAATACTTGAAAAATTATTTGTATTTGGGAACAGGAAAAATATATCAAAAAGCTGCGTTTCCTCATGAGACCGCAGTGCATGCCCGCTTGAGTGAGTGAGTGAGTGAGTGAGTGAGTGAGTGAGAGAGAGAGAGAGAGAGAGAGAGAGAGAGACAGACGTTCAGGAGTCGGGGGGCGGGGTGAGGCCGGGGTAAAAGGTGACTGACGCAGGCTGCTGCTCCACACAGCAACAGAGAAGAAAAATACTTTACTGCATTACTATTTTTCTTAAATAAATTTTTGTATCTGAACTGGGTTCCAGAGGCAGTTTATAAACTTGTAGCGCACTTAAAGCGGAGTTTGATCTGTATATTATTCCATTACGCTGCATTATTGACGTCTGCAATCTGTTGCTCTCTGTTTATGTAAGTTAGCTCTGTTAGCGCGGTAATTTAGACTATAGACTGTTGAAAGAGTAACGTCAACGTTCGGTTATAAAGGTTAAAACGATGCTTGTGTAGTTGTGTCGAATTGTATGCACTTATTTTTATGGTACGTTTAAATTACTGTCATTTGCAGACAGCAAGATATATGCTAAGCTAGTTAACCTTAGCATAACTTCCCGTCACTTATCACGATAAAACAGTGATACTGTATATAATGTGTGCAAAAGTATATCTTAATTATATATATAAATAAAAAATATCGCAATATAAATATATATATACATATATATATATATATATATATATATATATATATATATATATATATATATATATATAGCAGGGGAAAAAAATATCGCAATGTCAATATTTTCCAATATCGTGCAGCCCTAGTATATGCCATGCTAGTGTTGTTTCCATACTGATGAACTTCCGGTGACCTGTTATTGTAGGTTTTTTTCCATTTTATACGGTTCCTTTACTGCATCGATGTTGTATTGTATTTAAAATACAAACAGTTAAATAAACTTAGGCATTCATTTAGTTGCTCAAGCGTAAAACAACACAAAAAGCCGTTTACTCGCACGCGCCCATCATCGGCTGAAGCTCTATTGAATATACTGGGGTAAAATACTGGGGTAATCGAGGACGCATTGATGCAGACTTGAGCACCGATCAAAGTCCCAGAAGTCATTGCGACTGGAGGTGGGAAGCGCAGCATTATATATAGATTTATTATTTAAGTTCAGAGATATCATTTATTAATCTCAGGAGCTTCTCTAAAAGAAACAGTGAATATAAACATGACCATGAACATCTTAATAAAGGAATAAACATGTTAATGTTGTTTACTGAAATTCGTATTAAAATCTGTTTTATTTGTATTGTGAAACATATATATATAATGTTTTTATGCATAGTATATATTTTAAAAGGGGAAAAACAATACATCTCTTTATGAATGCTGTAATGTTTTATTAATATTATATTTAAAATGTGTGAAGGTCACGTGACCATCAGGAAGAACGCAGCATCTCATTTCTCACAGGACGCGTTCTCTGTTCTCATGGTCTTCCGAGTTCGTTCTTCCGAGGACACCTGGCAAGACCGGAACGCAAGTCCGTTCGCTGCGTTCTTGGAATTGAAGAACAGCCCATGTTTTGAAAGCTGTTATGCTAAAAGCTAGCATTCTGGCAGATCCCCTACTGCACCTTTAATGCCCATTATTAAGCACTTTAAAAGTTTTAAATGGCAACATGGTGAAAAGGACTGACCTGAATGCAGCGATCCACCATGGTCTGGGTCAGGCCTTCTGTCTTCATCTTAGTGGAGTTGATCCTGTAAACAAAGCCAAATGCTGTGAAGCAGTTGATTGTAGTTTTAAGCCCATGTGTTTTCAGCCATGATTTGGTTGTCTGAGGCTGCTTTTACACCTGTAGATCGATTGTTTTGTTCCGAAACGAGGATTAAAATTGTTATAATGTTGCTTTTTGTTCTTGATGGGGTTCACTTTTAAGCCTGGTTTATACTTCTGCGTCAAGTGACCGGCGTAAGCCATGGCGCATGCAACACGCATAGCTGTGCATTTAAACTTCTGCGCGCTGTCACTGTTGGTCTGCAGTAACACTTCCAGAACGCTAGTTGGCAGTGAGGTGTTAATGTGTGTCTGTGTTGAGTTTCTTCGCTGGTGTTTTGATTTTTCTGAACGCTTCTGGGATGTACAAGTGGCTCAAACTCGCTCATTTTGAGGCAGGAACTGGCAGACGTGCAACAACTTTAACTATGAGGTAAACACAAAAAAAAAAACTTTCCATCCAGAGCTCCTTCTCGGGACTCCACACTTGTAAACAATCGGTCCATTGGGCTCGCGCCGCTCAAGCAGCTCTCGGCCCCGCCTAGACTCGTCAGCGCTACAAAGCTGACCAATCACAGAGCTTGCGCTACGCGTTGTTGCGATGTGTAGTTACATTTTTTGAGAAGTGCATGTCAGCAACGCCGACGGCCACGGCGTAGGGCTATGCGTCGATGCGTAGGCATACGCGTGCGTTTGACGCAGAAGTCAGCCTTAAATCAGCCTTAATACGGCAAAGTTTCTAAACGGACCAAGAAAGTTACAAATCAGGTGTTAGAAAACTCTCCTCAAATTGGTCAGAGATTGGTTTATTTTACGGGATTTAGTTCAGCAGCCATACATCGCTATTTTAATTTATGACCATGAGAATAGTGTGAATGACACAGGGCTAATCAGTTATTCCTATAAACAGTATAAATGGTATAATTGAACATGATAAAAATGGTATAAATGGAATAAATGAATACATAAGGACAGATGACTTGCAGAGGATAACAACAAAAGTGCATCCTGGCTTTATGTATAACGTGCATAGAGAGCACGTGGTCATGACATGCAAATATGAGAACGGAAAAAGTGCACAGACGGGCATGCATTCAAAGCGATTTCATAATCTTGCATATTGTCAGTGGCTTCGTCATATGCGAACATTATAAGACGACACAATATCATTATACCTGAATGACGTCCGGAATGAAGCAGCTAGTGCTCCTCCTTGTGCACAATAATGAACAATCAAGGCGTAAACCATCAATCAAGCTTTCTGCTTTGATGACAGTGAACGTCACTGAGACCCCCCCCCCCCCCCCCCTAAAAAAAAAAACAAAAAACTTCGGAATTACGCAAATTACAGAGGTCAACCTATTGAGCTCTGAAAATACGGAAATCTGTATCTATATGGAAGAATCACATTCCTGAAAATACACTGTGATATAGCCTAGTTCAGGGGTCACCAACCTTTTTAAAACTGAGAGCTACTTCTTGGGTACTAATCACTGTGAAGGGCTACCAGTTTGATGCACACTGCATAAATAACAATTTTTCTCAATTTACTTTTAATTATATGTTGTTATTATTAATGATTAATGATATTCATCTATGTGAAGACACTGATCATGTTAATGATTTCTCACAATAGTTCTCGACAATGATTTAACAAGGTAAGAAACAGAAACATCAATATGCAACACTTTATTTGTCTGAAATAGTTTTATATATATATATATATATATATATATATATATATATATATATATATATATATCTTAATGTCATTGACACATTTTACACCAATGCAGGTGTGATTTAAAAACAATAGCTTCAAAAAATACTAGATTCAGCTTACTGGTATGTGGTGCAATGGTGAGCTATTATTAGAACAGGCCTGTGGGCAACTCATGTAATCCTCGTGGGCTACCTGGTGCCCGTGGGCACCATGTTGGTGACCCCTGGCCTAGTTTGTTAGTTCGTTGGAAAATCGTATTGATTTCTCAAAACAACCCAACTGCTCCAGAGTTTGTTTAAACCTCATTCAGGACATCTCAGACCGATTGTTTTGGCATGGATCAGACTGTGACTGCTAATTAACCTAGTTAAGCCTTTAAATGTCACTTTAAGCTGAATACTAGTGTCTTGAAATATATCTAGTCAAATATTATTCAGTCGTCATGCCAAAAATAAAAGAAATCAGTTATTAGAAATGAGTTATTAAAACTATTATGATTAGAAATGCGTTAAAAAAAAAACTTCTTTCCCTTAAACAGAAATAGGGATAAAAAAAAATACCGGCGGCTAATATTCCAGGGCTAATAATTCTGACTTCAACTGTAGATTAAAACCTGAAAAGTCAAAAACATAAACCTCAAGCTGTCGTCTGCTCCTCCGACAACAACCAAGCTGTTATCGGCCCGGATTTTCTCCCTGAACTCCTCCATGTTTTCAGGACTACACTGCAGAGCGTTCTGACCAACCACAAACAGCACTGGAGTCTTCATGTCCAACAGCGGATCATCAACATCCTGGAGAACAGAAAACCATCATTATACTCCAGCCAGAAATGTATATGGTCAACAAGGGCGGCACGATGTTGGAAAAAACCTTGCAATGCGATATTTTTTTTAATTTGCGATATATATTGCCACGGTTAATACACATTTTTACTACTAAAATTCCAAGACTTTACCATTAGTTTTCCAAAACTTTCAGGTAAATATTTATGACCTAATGTTTCATGTAATGTCTACACACACATGGTAAATAAGAAAAAAAATGCACATTCAAATGTATTACAGCATATCAAAAATATGCGACAGTCTATGAAAATGATGTTTATTTCTATATCTGTTAAATAGTTTTTAGTAAGTATCTGTATGCTGTCTATGTGAAAAATGTTGGCTTGTTTTTATATGACTTTTGTACAAATGAGCTTTTAGCACGCACAGTATCTATCTTCGTATTTTGAGATTGTTTCTGAACACCACACTCAAAATGAAGCTTGAATTATGGTGCATGCGAGTGAAAGAGGCGAAGCTGAAACCAGAGTTGCTTTTTTATCCAACACAGAGAACGTCACGTGAAGAGATAGACTGTGCGATTGTATTTACCCAATATTATCATCTAAAATATATTCAAGAATCTGGATATTAGTTAAACAAATTTCCATGACTTTGCCAAAACATTTTGGGTTTATTTGTTATTCCAAAACTTTTCCAGGATTGGAAAATGCCCTGTCAAAATTATATGACTTTTCCAGGTTTACCAGGACTGTATAAACCCTATATTGCGATATGAATACAATTTCATCAGATGATTTAATATCTATATTTGGAAATAATTAATAATGTGGGACAATTCTGCAGTGGAAGTGTATCTCCATAAAACTTAGTGGACAATCTATAAATTCAACAAAGAAAAAGATACTGAAATGAAAGTATTTAATCATTTTCCAAGTCTAACAGTATTCATGTAAAGCAATTAAATGCTAAAAATAAACATAATTCAATGAAATTAAGGTCACAAATGGTACAATTGCTTATGCATGAATGCTAAAATCATTATACAATCCCAGGCATTAAATACATATGCAAACGTTCAATTATAATACAACAAAAAAGTTAGGACAGCATGGAAAACGCAGTAAAGTAGTGATTACCAAATTGACTTTGACTTGTGTTTCATGTTCTGTCTGGTCAACTTCATTTCATTTGTATATTTTAGGGATGTAACAATATTGTAAATACCGTCATACCGCAATAGCAATTTTTTTCAATATTACCGTAGGCGCATGACTCAATAAAACTATATTTCTGAGAAAAGTTTGCTTAGGCGAATGAAGCGAACGGGAGGTAGCGGGAACTACAATTCCCATCAGCCTAGGCGTGGCCATCATCCTTTGCGGTCTGTTGTCACTACAGATCCAGTAATGCGGAAATGGAGTGTGTTGCTGGTAGCGAGAAAGAAAAAGAGCTGGAAATGATCGAACCTAAAGCGGGTTTTAAATCGGATGTGTGGAAGCATTTCGGTTTCTTTTTAAAAAGATCCGAAAAAGTAGAAAAGGTGACAGACAAAGAAAAAACAGTATGCAGGCACTGCCAGACTGTGGTGAAATATAAGTGGGGGAATACGACTAATAACAGTGATGGGGACTGCAGAACACAGCACACTTGTTAGATTGATGCAGACATTGACTTGTACCGCAAAGAGACCTCTATCTCACTCATGGCTTGTCCTCTCAAGTGGGGGAAAGACAATGCACAACGTTACCCACTGCTGTCAACCTTGGCTAAATCATATCTCTCTGTCCCAGAAACCTCAGTCCCAAATGAGAGGGTTTTTTTTCTGTTGCAGGGGACATGCTCAGAGATCCCAGCTTTTACCAGATTATAGTTACTGTATATGATAATTTTCCTTCAAAAACCCATCTCTATCTAAGTGAGTGAGTAATTAAATGTTGAATGTGAGGAGTTTTCAACAATACTAAATTGTAACTTTATTTTTTTTTATATGGTTTAATAGTTTTTTGTTATTAAAATTAAAATATTTAAGTTCCTGTTTCGAAACTTACAGATAGACGGCTGATTTGTATGTCATTGATATGTTCAGTGCTAAGGTAAATAAACACTTTCGGCACTTTTTTCGAGTCTTTTCATTAGTTTTGTTTTTCCTGTAAATTATTCAATAAATACCGTACCGTGACATTCATACCGAGGTGTTACCGTACCGTGAAATTCTGATACCGTTAAATCCCTAGTAAATTTACATCCTTTCGCATCGTTCAAACCTGCAACCTTCCTAAAAAGGTTGGCACAGGAACATTTCGGGGCTTGTAATAGAGAAAATATCAAATATTAAATGATGTGATTGGAAACAGGTGATGTTAACAGGTGATTATTTATTCTAATTATGATTTGGTACAAAAGCAGCATCCAAGAAAGGTCTGGTCCTTTAGGAGAAAAAATGGGGAGGATCAACAGTTTGCCGAGAAACACGCAAGAGAATTATTGAAATGTTTAAAACCGATCATGAGGAACACATTAAATAATGTTTGCTGTATTGTCTGCAATGAAGCACAAGTCAAAGTAAACTCAGGAATCACTTCCTTCTTTTTTATTTGCATTTTCCAGACGGTCACAACACGATTTGGGGTTGTACAGACTCAACATTATATATCCTGCGATGTGACTATTGCAAATGACTACATTGTGATATCGATAGGAAACTATGGACTGTGTTTGCTCTTACCCCTCGTGGCCCACTGATCGTTTGGAGAGGGAAACCCAAACACACAACAGCAGTCATGTACTCCATTAAAGACACCTGTGTGCAAAAACAGGCCTCTGTGAGTTCATCTGTTTACAGCCAAACACAGACAACTAATCAAAGAATTAATCATTTTAATTAATGCAAGACTTACATGACAAGCCATCAATGATCCTACATTCCAGCCCACCAAGATGATCGGTTTGTGAGGGAAGTGACTGTGAACCTAGAGCAAATATAGCGCATTTGAAATAAATGACGTCAGTACATAATAACCGGTTATGATTATTGCTGAATCGATACAGAGTTGTTCACGTCTACATCGCGGTGCATCAAAGAAGCAATTAATTTTGACATCCATAGCGAATATAGTCCTGGGGTTTCTGTAAAGTGAAAGCATGCTGTTTTGTACCTCGATGACTTTTCCTCTGACTGTGCCGATCATGTGCTCCAAACACTGCGTGATTCCAACGTTGGCTCCACTGCCAACATGAACGTTAATGGGAATGACCTGAATCAACAAAACAAGACAAAAACATTTCTGAACCTTGACTTTGAAAGTAAAAAATGACTAAGTTAACGCAATATTTAACTGTCAAAATGTGTTAACCCTTGTATATTGGTCAATCGTTATGTTTGTGGCTGTTTTTGCCCCATTGACTTCCATTATAAGGATATTTTTTAAATGCAAAACCTTAACAGCACATAATCATGAATTCTTGATTGTTTTCCCTGTTGGGAAGAGGTCAGATGTGTCATTTTCACTGTTGATCATCAGTTGACAAAATTAGGCCTTTAGATAGACATGTGCAAAAACCATAGACTGTAAAATATATGGACGTAGTATCCGTGACGTCACCCACAGGTTTCTAAAGAGCGCAAAAGAAGCCACAAGTAGGCGCGGCCAACCGTCGCCATTTTGTTCGCGCGTCATCACACCCATGGCGGGATACCAAACATGGGCAAAGAGGCGGAGAGTGAGCGGAGCTACAGACGCATGCTGGCATTTAGCTTGGACCTGGTTCAGACACCTGGTTTACTTTGGGAGAAATGCTTAATACTTTATCACCTGTGACTCGTTTGTGTTCTGACCACTTGTGCTTGGTTGTACACTATATCAATAAAGTGTTTAGTCTTTTAAAAACACTGCTGTAATACATTGAGTTACTAAACATTGTTCTTATGACGTTTTTCAACAGGAGGAAAACGCGAATTACTTCCAAACACTTCAGATATAGTCTGTGTTAGTAAATGCAGGACTATTGATGAAATCCAGCATAACACTGTATGACAACGCTTCAGATGACTGTTCTAGAGCCTACAGCTAATCAATCTGTCAGATTCTGGAGTGCATTACAGCTCTAAATATAAATATAAACCATAAATGATCTTAAATAAAACAAATACATGTATAGAGATGGTATATAAGTATATAACTTTACTCACATGGGAAACGGAGGCCACGTGAATGGTTTGTGAGCACAATTAAGTGCACTCAGCATGACATTCCATCAAATAATTGTAGGAAACAAGTCCAAAAGGCAGTCGACTGTGTAAAGCCACATAAAACAACGCAGAAATACGATAAATATGCCGAGTTCAGTGGCTAATCTGCCGGATTCAGCTGAGGTGACGTGACGGCGACCAACGAGACCTAACTGTCACTCAAGTGACCACGCCCTTAATTATGCAAACTTAATATAACTTAATATAAAGGAAACGGATGAGTTATAAAAAAATTCACCCCCTCACAGTTGTCATGAAGGGTAATATTAGCTGTATGAACCAAAACCTTTTTTTGTACCAGGCTGTAAACACCTTTACTTCTGCTGTAAAGTCGGCCATTCTAACAGTGGGCTTAATTGAAATTTGCTGTTTTGGAGCCAGGAGCGGCCAGGACTAGCGGAATTTCGGATGAATTGCAGTTTTAGTTACTTCCGTATTGGCTTCCTGAGGGAGAGCGGGAGGTTGCCGCTTGGCCTAAACCCACCTTAAAGATGTTGATCTACCTTAAGGTTGGCTCGGATTGTTCAGTATTTACGCTTTACCATTGCACTCACTTTGTAAGATTTTATTTATAAAGTTGAAGAGTCTCTTTAACACTTACGTTAATTTTATTATTAAGACATCAGATATTCAGTTTAAATATTTTTATTTTTGACTATTAAAACTACAAAAAGGGACTAAACCGAAAAGAAAATGAATGAATATTAAAACTATTTGCCTTAGTAATGTTGGTAAATTAAAATAATAAATAAAAATTAAAAGTCCTACTACTCCTAAATGTACTGTTAATAAAAAATATTCAATAATTATTGATATAGATTAATATGAAAGATGATATCGTGATACATTTTTTTGCAATATCGCCCAGCCCTAGGTAAATCTCACAGTAATCAAGCCACAATTCAAAAATCATCGGTGAGATTGATAAATTAAAAGCGTTACGCTTATGATGCTGCATACCTTCCCAAGACAGGACAGCTGAGATTGCCAGAATCTCATTCGTCGGGATGTAGGAAAGGCAGGGTTGGTTGGTCCAGATGGAGCAATAAGGATCAGCGGGGATCCAGGAAGTTTACTCTGAAAATACAAACATGAGAGAAAAGATGAAGTACACTGAAAGTGCATTATACTACAGATGCATTCACATTGAATGAACTCTGATGTGATTATATCTGTGCATCGTTTGTCATGGGGGGCATGCATGAAATGTTCCTGGATGAAAGTGAAAGAGCCAAACTGCAGTTAAAGTCGACAAATTAAGAATTTGGCAAATAATTCAGATGATAGATGTCCATGTAAATACACTGTCTTTCTCCCCTGTGTCTGTGTGTTGTTTTGCCTCAGTGAAAAATCAGCGCGTGCTCGAACAGAAACTCCCCTTTAAATGCAAATCCTTCCCTCTTTCGCCACTTGACACTCCCACCTAAACAAAGCTGGACTGACTGTGAGCCACTGTCCTGACTGTTTTCAAACTAGAGGTGTGAAAACAGCCTGCTGAAACAGGGGATGTCCATGGCCCTTTATCGTCAGGAAATGTAAAATAAAAATGAGACAGTGGACACACTATACCTACAATCAGTTCTAGGTTTACTTAATAGGTGTCCTTTAAGGGTGCTTTCACACTTTTGGTCAGCACCCGGGTTCGTTTGACGTCATAGTACGGTGCGTTTAGCTAGTGTGAACGTGTCTTCTGAACTGGAGTGCGCACCCATGAACCGTACTCGTGTCCGCCTGAAAGAGGTGGTCTGGGGTACGGTTCATTTGAACTCTGGTACGGTTCACTTCTGGTATAAATGCAATCACACCAAATAAAGGAAGTGAACCTCCAACTGTACAACAAACTATTGTTTTCATAATGTTTATTCATGTGTGTGTGTGTGTGTGTGTGTGTGTGTGTGTGTCAGGTATTTTATCTTAGTGATAAGCAGGACTGAGCCAGGGCAAACACAGTGATGTCAGCTTGTCTCCTCCAAAAAACATTTTGGCGCTATGCTTTCGTGACTGTCACCTAGCAACAGCGGTAAACAAAACAGCAGCTCGATGAGGCAAATGTACCGGGGTTCAGAAGGAAAAAAGACACAAAACCAACGGAGAAGGCAGCAAGGGGGGACAATCAAACTTGGGTACGGTCCAGACAATTGAACCAAATGTGAAAGCAAGTGGCCAGGTGTAAGCAGCCCCCTGATAAAAGCATATGCGAATAAGTCACCACAATAAAGTCTACGACATACTGGTTTGTTGTGTGATAGCACACCCACTGCAGGGTCCCACGGGCGTTTGAGGAGCAGAGAAAGAGCCTCGGCCCCTGCGGCTCCTGTTTTTACAGAAGACGACAGCAGCATCCTGTCTATCAGGGACGGCACCTAAAAATAAATGTAAAAATATAAGACCAAAAATAAAATAAAATTAAATAAAGATAAAAAAAAAAAAAATCAACAGATTCTAAGGATGGCAGGATATATAGGAATCAGAGAGTACAATTCAATACAAGACTTTTTTTAATAAAACAAATTAAACTAATTCAGCAAGTCATTAGCTAGGTTTACATCCAAAAATGCGAATAAACTTTATGCGCAAAACTGGATTATCGCATAAAAGTTGTGTGAATGAAGTATCGTTTCCATCCAACGAGTCAAAGCGAACAAAATCGTCACTTCCTGATTAACTGGCGCCAGATATCAACAGTAAAAACTGCATTTGCTGCAGTAGGAGAAGCTGCATCGATCTTTTCTAAATGAATGCGCCGCAGAAGACAATCTTGACAAAAAGTGAGCGCGCAGTGGCGTTTGAAGGTGTCAGACGCGGAGCACAGGCGCTCTTGATTCTGGAGGTCATTAATAATATAATAACATTAATACTGAAATGGTAAGGCATTTTATAATGACCAAAACAACATTTCAGATGTTTTATAATGTGCTCAGCCTGACGTTTTATCCATTCACACACATTTTAAGCATCACATGATCTCTTTTAACAAAATCACATGACCTTTTTTAATGCGCATGCTGGAGTTTGTGCGGTAAAAGTGTTTCCATTGCAGTTTATGCGCATCTTTTCTTATCGAATAAAAAGTTTATCCTACCCAGTTAGGCGCATAAGTTTTTTATTCGCATTTTCAAAATTTATACGCATCATGCCGTTTCCATCAACTGTTTTTTTTATTCGCATTTGCAAAATACGCATAAAATAGGTGGATGGAAACATAGCTATTGTTTAACAGTGGTTTGTTCTGCAGACCAAAACAAAACAAAATTGCCTACGGGGGCTAATAATATTGACCTTAAAACGTTTTTTAAAAATTAAAAACTACATTTATTCTAGCCGAAATAAAACAAATAAGACTTTCTCCAGAAGAAAAAATATTATAGGAAATACTGTGAAGAATTTCTGAATCTGTAAAACACCATTAGGGAAATATTTTAAAAAGAACAAATTCACAGGAGGGCGAATCATGTTGACTTCAGCGGTAGTTTGATATTAAATCGTCTCACCTTGCTCTTGAGTGTCTGCAGCACGTCAAGGTAAGCCGCCAACATAGCGAGGCTCAAAGACTCCAGAAGTGTGTTATGAAGCCAGTGTGTGAGCTTTATGTCCCAGCTGACACTGGACAGGGCATGGCGGACCTTGCGAGCGCATTTATCCACAGCTATTCTGCGTAAGACGGGTTCATTACAGGCCTGTGGAGATCAGAGAGAGGGGAGTGAGGAGGACCTACAAACCTTTACAGAAGAATTTCATCAAGTCCGGAAACAATCTGTGGTTTTGATTGCAACCAAACTGAATTTTAGTTATTAAGCTGATTCTTTATAAGATTAAAGGTAGACAAATTAAACACGAACATTGAAATAAATAAAATACTAGCTTTTAAGATTCGTACTTATAATTAGGCTTGTCACAATAATCAATATATCGATTTATCATGCAGTACTTGGAGATGACCTCAATTATTTTTGCCATTAATTTATTTATATTTACAAATTCACAAATAATGTTGAAGCCATTTTGATATGACATTTACATTCTACCTCAGCGGTGTCAACGTTTATAATTGGATATTTACCTAATAGAACATTTAATAGTATATATGAAGAGTTTCGTTGCAAAACGAGATATATCTACTTTGAAGAAATGTTGGTTATTTGACATTATTTAAGACATCAACAGTCAAGTTCATTCACAATTTTTGTTAATTTAGGGTGCTTTCACACCTACACTTTTGTTTCGGAACGTATCTCGTTTGCCCAGTTAGCGCGGTTCGATTGGCATATGTGAACAGGGCAATCGCGCTCTGTTCCGCGCCAAAGTAATCGCTCCGAGATCGCTTGAATGAGGTGGTCTCGGCTCGATTGAAACGAACCCTGGAGCGGTTCGATTGTAGCGAGAAAGCGATCCGATCCGAGCGCGGTTGTATCACTGTGTTTTATGGATATGTAATAGGCATATACGGCTATATGAAGAGAGAATTATGAGTGGGGAGGGAAGTTTCGCGAGTCTCCGGATGCCCGCAAACGAGTGATGATCTCCCGGTAATCTCGCGTCTCCCTCCAGGTCCTCAAATAGGCATCGTCGCGCACCCTTCTCACCCCTCCCCACCGCGTCTCTCCTCAGACACGTCACGCGCGCGCACCCTGTCAATCACCACCAAACCACCACCTCTCCTGACAGCTGAGCGGGACGCTGCAAAATAAACCCTGACACTCTGACCAATGTAAGGAGAGTTTACTCGCACGTGACTTGTTTTAGCTCTTTTGGTCCGATTAGAAACTTTGCAGTGTGAAAGCCAACCGCTCCAAGAGCAAAGAGCAACAATGTAACATTTGTAATCTCTGTTTCGGAACAACTGAATCGATTCACAGGTGTGAAAGCACCCTTAAACTATCACTTGAGCTCAGTGAAGGCCAGGAACACAATATTCTCAAATCCAGCATATTTTTTATTTAGTATACTGTAGTATACTAAACTCCAATATGGATACAGTCGTTTACTCTCTTAAACGTTTTACATTTAAATTTGGAGTAAATTACATCCACCAGATTAGGCTACAAGCAGATGCATAGACTAGTTTACATTGATGTTTATATGTTTTTTATTAAAATAAGTAACATCATCAATTTACTACAAATTATTAATAAAACAACATAATTACACTTTCATGCTAAGCACTTTTTTCCTAAATCGAAGCACTTTTCAAACTTTGTAAACACTCGATTACAAATCAAGCATTTTCAAGGATTCCCAGCACCCGTAAGAACCCTGTACTTCAAGAATTCATGTGAATTTGATTGATTTAGAAATAAAAAAAGTTGAAAAAGGTTTTAAAAGTAGAACCCAGTTTTTAAACTCACACCATCGTTGGCCAGTCTGCCGAGTCGTTCTGCCTGCAGGGCTTTCAATACTTTATTAAAGAGCTTGTTCTGAGCCAATGACCAGCCAGTCCTGAAGAACAACAGAATAAAACAAGAGTCATTTCACAAAAAAGCTCAAAGCATTTAATACACCAACCACTCCATTTGAATAAAGAACAGCGGTCCTGATGAAAACAATCAATGACTAGTGACCCGTTTCCGCTGAGCGGTAGAGTTCAGTATGCTTTATTGTCTTTCCACTGGCAAAAGCTACTAAAAAGCGAAGCGTGCCGTAGCACAGTTTTGCTAACCTTTCCAAAGGGTACCAAAACAACAGAACAGTACCAATGTTAAAGCTTGATGCTCAGCTGAACACTATTGGTTTACAGAGAATCACCACTAGCAGCCAGGAGAATGAAAACAAAGGAAACGCCATTTTTAAATACCATGGTCAACCCGAGCTCAAACAAACTGTCATCTTCTTGTGACAAACAGCCACATGCCAAGAAGAAGAACAGAATCTGCTGTTGCCCTATTCAGGGTTCCCACTCTATCATGGAAAGACAATTCAGGGACTTTTTAAATCACTAATAATATTAAATCAAGCACACCACCAGCATATATAGGGCCCTGAAAATCCTTCCTATACTTAAAATTCCTTCACATATAATATTTACATTAAAATGTCAACTGTGCATAGAGACCTTACAAATATACATGCACGGTCAGTGTATCTTTTGGTCATTGGATTTTCATTTTAGAAACACATATTAAAAAACGGGGAAAAAATGAGTCGTATTTTGATTTTCGATTTTTAATTACAAAACGAAAATTGAAATTTAATGCGTTTTTTTGATTTTTGTTTTTGAATTTTAAAACGAAAATCAAAAAACGGCTCGTTTTTATTTTTCATGGTGAAAAACAGAAAATAAAAATGAAAAAATGTTTGATTAAAATTTTTTATTTCGAATAACAAAAAATTAAATCACCAGAAAACAAAATTGAATAAAGGCTTGTTTTTACATTTATTTAATCTAAAATGAAAATCCAAAGACAAAAAGATACACTGACCGTGCACAATACAAACAAAACATATTTTAATACGAATTTCAACAAATAAACGACCCTTAATGTGTTTATGCCATTATTAAGATTCTCATGGTTGTTTATTTTCACCGTTTCATTTAGAAAAACTCCTGAGGTAAATAAGTTACATCTCTGACCTTTAATAATGAATCTATATAAAATGCTGTGCATTCATTCATTCATTCATTTTCTTGTCAGCTTAGTCCCTTTATTAATTTAGGGTCGACACAGCGGAATGAACCGCCAACTTATCCAGCACATTTTTACGCAGCGGATGCCCTTCCAGCCGCAACCCATCTATGGGAAACATACACACACACACTCGTACACTACGAACAATTTAGCCTACCCAATTCACCTGTATCACATGTCTTTGGACTGTGGGGGAAACCGGAGCACCCGGAGGAAACCCACGCGAAGGCAGGGAGAACATGCAAACTCCACACAGAAACGCCAACTGAGCCGAGGTTCCAACCAGCGACCTAGCCACCTTCTTGCTGTGAGGCGACAGCACTACCTACTGCGCACTCCTCCTTTTTTAAGCCGCAATGATTTCAAGCGAGTTTTGCACTCAATTATGCATCGGTGCATCATCGATATCAAGAACGTAATCTGGAACTTTCACACGTCCTTCGTTCTTGGAGTTGATGATGACGTTACAGGAGAACACAAGGACGCAAGATTGCCGAAGATATTGAGAAACAGCCTATGTGTGGAAAGCACAGCATACCAAACTGAATCGTATCCCTCAGTGGAAACGAGCCATAGGAGAGCCATAGTAAAACAGCAGCAGCGGTTTTTCTTACTTGTTGATGTGTTCTTCCCAGTCATCGGGAGGCGGCGGTCCATCAGCGACTGTCCGGGCGAACAGAACATGCCGGTCACACTCGTTCATCACACTACGGGCCTTCTGGTTGTCATAGAGAGGCATTGGAGTGGGTGTGACCGTCTCCACATCAATGGACATATCCGAATCCCTGCAGGATAACATCACAACACTTTCATCAACATACAAATCACTGCAAGGACAGAAGTATTTACAGTGGGGGAAGTAAAGCTTGAACATATCATGCTTTTGTCCTGGGAATAATTTATCTAAAGAAGCTGTTGACATGGAATTGAAGCTAATTTTGGTAAAAACCCAAACAATAAACATAAAAATAAAAACTAAATCTGAAAGATGAGTTCTGTGTAATAACAATGTGTAATAACAGCACTGTTGCATAAGTTCTGTGTAATAACAGCACTTTCTCCAGACACAAGGGGGAAGTGCTGTACTATTAAAATGTATTTAATACTTTATAAAAAAGGCTTTTTTTGGTGACGGGAGCTTAAAGATGCCTCTCATGAAAATCTTGATGATTCAGTGGGTCTCATCTATCAAATCGGAACTTTATTTCGTATTCTCTATTGGATTCAGATCAGGTGACTGGCTGGACCATTCTACGGCTTGATTTTCTTTCTCTGAAAGCATTTGAGAGTTTCCTTGGCTGTGTTTTGGATCGTTGTCTTTATGGGTGCACAATATATTGTTTCAGCATCGATACTGCAATGTGCCCATAAGCAAAAGTAATATTGTATGATCTGCAATTGTTGAGATGATATTACATATGAACATGAGCCACAGTTGCAAAGTGTAACCATAATAAAAGTAAAAATGTATCATTTGCCAATGTTTTTAAAGCCTGTGGTGATTTCAGAAGGATTTAAAGCATTCAGAGACAGGACATTTTTATAGTATGTAGTATGCATGCATTCATTTTCTTTTCGGCTTAGTCCCTTTAACAAGCTATGATCGCCACAGCGGAATGAACCGACAACTCATCCAGTATATGTTTTACACAGCGGTTAACCTTCCAGCTGGAACCTATCACCGGGAAACATCCATACACACTCATTCACACACACTACGGACAAACTACTTACCGTAGTTTGTAACTTTAATAAGGGTTAAATTAAAAGAATAATAATATAATCAAGACTATACAGTGCTATTTTACATTTGATTATTCCATTTCTGGAGCTGATTACTATTAAGACTCCCACGAAAACTGCAAAGCACTGTTTATTTCACTTATTTCTTTGATCTGCTATATTTATAAATTATCATTTGTTTATAGATTTTATGCAAACGATAATCAAAATATATAAATGAGTTATTTCCAAAAAGAGCTATTAAAGTCATCTGGTACAATGGTATATATATCGCATTATATTTTGCAGAAAAACTAAATATCGCAATGTCATATTGTGCCAATATCGTGCCCGAATTGTCTTGCTGAAATGTACACCCTGGTTTCATCTTCATCCTGAAAAACTACTGAGAAATTTCAGCTGCTGTCTGGGCCTTCACTGCCTTTCTACACCTTCCTTTCTTCATGTGTTTAATACTCTTACCCAGCCACATTTCATTTTATTACACAGAACTTCACGATTATTTTCTTTGCATATATGGATTCCATCCAAGTTGGAGGGGGATAAAACAGAATTTGTGGAGCACTAAAATAATGTTTAATAAAATAATGTTTAAATAATATTTAATTTGCAGAACAAATGAAGTCACTTCAGCAAACTATTGAAGTAACTTTTGTTTTAAGCTCTCTGACCACAAGCAGACAGATGATCTATTCTTTATTAGTGCTCGCATTTTTTACAGTACGGTACAATACAAGCCTACACACAAAATATCCAGAAAGTATTCACTATTTAGGTTTAAAACTTGTTTTTATGGCAAGGTTGACATGGAATTGCTCAGATGTTGACACCAGCTGTCAAGGATGACAAATGTAGACGTCTAGCTAGGATTTTCTTCTAGGTTATTTCACTCACCCAGACGCTTCCGGCTGCCGTCGAGGGGTGACGAACAGCATGCGGGTGGGCCGGGCACTGCTGGCATCCGGGTGGGCGTTCCAGGGTTTGGCATAGCTGTGGTCCAGAAAAACGAGATCCAACTCTCTCTCGTGAACCGACAGCTGGAAGAGCAGGGACGTCCCCATCCTCCGGGCTGACGTTTGGAAGTCTCGCTCTCCTCCAGGACGGAACATGATGCTTTAGCCCCACACTTCCCACAAAAACAAAAGAGACGCTCACACTGTATACATGAACCCTAGAATGAAGCAATCTGTTAGTATTAAGCATACTTTATTAGGGCTGGATGAATGATATAAAAAAAATCTGATATTGTGATGTTAATGTTTCCGTAATAAATATTTCCACATGAATACAAAGAAGAAAGTGGGAAAGTAAAAAGTAAATAAAGTGGTGGGGAAACAGTCAAAGAATATTATTGGCTACAAAATATACGTAATGTTTTCTCAATGTAGTTTTAATTTCTCTTTTGGCTTCCTGGTGACAAATATTTGGCAATGTGTACTGGGCCAAATGCTCTTGTTATCTGTAAATACATATGATGGTATTTTTTATCAGCGGAGAACTCATGAAGAGCTTATAAAATGTATAAAAATTCAAAACAAAATCAGGACTATTATATTTGCAGCAAGAAGACAGATTTCTAAAGTTGGTTTTATATTCGCACATTCGTTCATTTAGCAGTCTCTATATTGTTTACTATGTTACTTTGTGTTTAAATACATTTATAATGACGAAGCTGTAATTTAGTACTATATGTTTGATAGTAAACAGCAAACAAAATATTCAATTAATTAAATGGCAAGTGTTAATAAGTACATGTACTTTCAGCAGGGCAAACATTATAATCATTTAAAATGTACATTGTCGTAAAGTATATATTTTACATTGTTAATAATATAATGTCTTCACAATTTTGCTTATATGTTATTTTACACTTACTTAAAGGGAATGTTCACTCTTCTTTTTCAAAAGTAAATCACTTTCTAGTAAAATATACCACCACTAACTTACAGTTAAAGGATCAAGTAAGATGTTTATTTGATACTAATTCTGTTTTAATAATTTGTAATGTTTGTGCTGTGTAATGACTTACAGAAGTAACCTACAGTATTTACTATAGTAAATTCCGTAGGGGAACATACCTTTAATCCTCACTAACGTGTGGTAACCCACACAAACTGTTGTTTTGATTAAAATGCTGCAATGTTTTGTAAAGCAAGAAGATATATAGTTTTTAGAGTTGATTTTAGTGTTGGGTCAGTTTTAAAAGGTGTTAAATTAATTGTTATTATTTCAGTTACGGGCTGACGCGCGCGCGCACGAGTGGAAACGTGAACGCGGGAGTGGCGCGTGAGAGAGACATAGCAGTCACATTTAAGCCAGATTACATAATTTGAGCTTTTAAATCAGTATTCTACCACAAATATTACATGTAATGTTTTTGTTTGACTTAACCATAAACGTTTTGGTTTCGTTATTAAGATACAGACAGGCTCTTAGCTCTGAGGCTAAATCAACAATACCCACCGCCCGCTCTCAGGCTCATCTCACATCATTTTAGTCCAAAGAATGATCTCCTGAATAATACCGAAGGCCTTCAGTTCATGTGACGAGAAAATAACAAACTCCAGCTGAAAATCTCCACCGTAATGGCCGACTGTCTTTTGTTTTACTGTCGCGCCACAGCGGCTAGACTAAAAATCCGGAGTGGAGTAAATATGGCGGAGCTGGTGGGCTCGGCGTAAAACCTGGACTGGCCTTCAAAACCCGTCAAAACACTTTGACCTTTAAATTAAAAGTGATAGTTTGCACTTTGCAAACACAAAAATCTGTCATAATTTAGTCACCCTTTACCTTTTTCAAACCGTTAAGAGTGTCTTTCTGTTGTTGAGCACAAGATAAGTTATTTGTACAAATTTAGAAAACCTGTAACCATTGGCTTCTATAATATTTCTTTTTCCTACTATAAAAGTCAATATTTACAGGTTTTCAGCTTTATTCAAAAGATCTTCTTTTATGTTCAACAGACAATGGAAACGCATAAAGATTTGGAACCACTTGAGGGTGATTCATTTTTATTTCTTTATTTGCTTTGACATGGACATCACAACTAAGCTGCGGTCACACTAGAGTTTGAGCTTGCGAAAAGGGGCGGGATTAAACAAGATGATTAGACATTTAAAAAAGGGAGCGATTGGTCCACATTTTAAATTCCTGTCCAGAGAGGTCATGTTTTGATCTTCGATTAGTCTCATGCAGTCAAGTGATGTGATTTCGCAGGTCAGAGTTCACAAAGCTTAAACTCTGCACCTCAGCGAACCGCGAAACTTCGCACGAGCTTGCGTTTCTGGTCTGACGCATTCGCGAGCATATGAACGGAAGTATATGGGGAGAAAGTGCTAAAGTGCGCGTGTTTGTCATTTCATGGCTCTTGGATTTTATCACAAATAAAGAGCCATGAAATAATAATAAACAGAAACAATCATCATCAGAAATGACACACAGAACGCCAAACACAAACAATGTGATGCCAAAATTTTATTTAATGTAGCTAAATTGTGGCCACAGATACTTTTGTTGGATGCTTTTTAGCTCAAAATGCAATATGGCTGATGTGTCGTTGGTTTGGGTTGATTAGAAATGGCTTGCAGTAGGGTTTGAGCACAAAAGCTTCACTGTGGGTTGTCTTGAAATCTTGTTTGCCATGCAGAGGCTTGATATGGCTGTCTTGAACCTAAAATATATCAGTACAAGTTGAAAATCAGCTGTAAAGAGTGACGCAGCCAATAAAAATGTGGTCACATCACAAAAAATAAGAATTTTTGCATAATCGTTGCTATTTAAAGAGGACCTATTATGCAAAAATCACCTTTATAAGGAGTTTAAACACATTTGTGTGGTATAAGTGTGTGAATATAACCAGAAAATGTATACATTTAGTTTTTTATGATCACACTTGATATAAACAGAAACACTTTGATTGACATTCTCCGGCTGTACGTGTCATCGGAGGGGAAAGCCCCGCCATCTCTCCTTCATTAGCATAGGACGTTAGTCTTGTGTTTGAATCTGCCCCTATGCTGACACATAAGCATGTGTAGCTCCGCCCTTTTCTGAAAAGAGCACAATTTCATTTGAATTTAAAGCGACAGTCACCAAAACGCCACAGTTAGGATTAAAGCCTGAAAGAGTCAGAATCAGTTTCAGAGAGTTTTAATACATTAATTGTGTGGAATTTTGAGCTGAAACTTCACACACACACTCTAGGGACATTGTTTTAGATCTTTAAAAATGGGGCATATTAGTTCCCCCAATAGACACTTTTGATATGTGTTGACTAGTAATGACATGCTTTCAGCTAAAACAAACTAAACTCCAGAATAAAAAGGAAAACAGAGATATTTGATAAGTGAATATTTACCTTGTGAAGGTGACTTGGGCTCAGTTTCTGTCTTCTGGCAGTCAGGGAGACAAAATCTTTTTGCACAGTTGTAAGCATCCGATCGGGCTCTAAAAACACACAAGCTGATTATATTTACATATTATTAGATATTATATTAAAAAAGTTAAACAATATATGTTTTTTAACTTTTTAAAATCTTATGTATGCCCAGTTTACCATTAACTCGGTGTGGATCTAAATGCATATGAATTGCATTCTTCTGTTGAACGCAAAAGTAGATATTCTGAAGAATGTTGGGGGGACAAAAAGCAGCCATTGACAACAGCAACAAAAAACCTATGGATGTCAATAGCTATGTTTCCATACACCTATTTTTATCTGCGTTTTGGATATGTGCATAAAAAATGGTTGATGGAAATGCCAAGAAAATTTGCATAACAAACGTATGCGCATAACTAAGTGGGATGAATTTTATATTTGATAAGAAAAAATGTGCTTAAACTCTGATGGAAACACTTTTACCAAATAAATTCCAGTATGCGCATTAAAACAGCCATGTGTTTTCGTTATTAGATATCATGTAATGATGAGAATGAACTATACCCCTTTAATTATTGTGGTGTGGACTCTTTTACAATAAAAACACTTTTCTTAACAATCTCATTATTGTCCTTTGTATGCAGGTCATTTTAAGTGACTGATCAGGGATCAGTATTACAAAAGTACCTTGCTCATACAGCACATAACTCGGCGGGTAGATGGGTGGCTTGGGACGAATCACTTCTTTAGCAAGAAACTGTTCCTGTGATGTTGTGCCGTAGAAGTTTCCAGCCAGATCAGGCCTCCCGAATTGAACACAGCTCAAATTCCTGATGCTGGATCCATCCACATACACAGGGAGCTGAGTGCGGTTTATCTGATGAAGCAAATACTTGTCAGTTAGAGCACGTCCAGTGTTATGGATGTGACTTTTGCAGGAAAAACTCAAAACATAAATTCACAGAGAAAGTAAATTTGTTAAGGTTATATTAAAATATCTGTATATACAGTTGAAGTCAGAATGATTACCCCCTCCCTTTGAATTTTTCTTTTATTTTTAAATATCTCCCAAATGATGCTTAACAGAGCAAGGAAATTTCACAGTATTTCCTATAATATTTTTTTCTTCTGGAGAAAGTCTTATTTGTTTTATTTCGGCTAGAATAAAAGCAGTTTTTAATTTTTTGAGAACTATTTTAAGGTCTATATTATTAACCCCTTTAAGCTATATATTTTTTGATAGCTTACAGAACAAACCATCGTTATACAATAACTTGCCTAATTACCATATCCTGCCTAGTTAACCTACATAAGCCTTTAAATGTCACTTTAGGCTGTATATAATTGAGGAATTTCTAGTCTAATATCATTTACTGTCATCATGGCTAAGATAAAATAAATCAGTTATTAGAAATGAGTTATTAAAACTATCATGTTTAGAAATGTGTTGAAAAACATCTGCTCTCCGTGAAACAGAAATTGGAGGGGAAAATAAACAGGGGGGCGAATAATTCTGACTTCAACTAAATGTCCTAAAACAACTAACCACAGATTTTGGGCAGGGCCAGAAAAATGCTGAAAATTTTGCAAAAAATCTGCAAATTTCTACAGAATTATTTCAGGAGTATCATAACTAAACTGTAATATATGAAATAAAAAATCTTTTAACTTTTATTTAATGTTTAAAATGCAAATCCAATTAGATTCACTTTATGTGGGTAAACAAAGCAAGTCTCTCATATAATACCTCCACTAAAAGACAGAAAATATTACAAACTGCACTGTACATAAATCAGATGAACACTTTCATATTAGTCAATAATATTACTGTAATTAATTTAAAAACTGAACAAATATAGATTTCACACATTTACTTAAGTTAAAAACAGAATTAATGATGGGCTAAAAATCTGCGGAATTCTGCGCGCGCAGATTCAATGTGGGCCGAGTTATGGGATCAGAAAAATATCAATCTGTAAAGACTTATATACTTAAAATGCGGGAAATAAACATGCGTTACGGATGCGAGTTTACAGTATACAACATACTTAGTCGAAATTCTGTGAATTAAACTGCACAACCTAAAAGAAACAAAGCTAATCAAAATGAGAAGAGTCAGTTCACTATAAAACAAAAGTGACTGATTTTATTTGATATTTTTGCATTCATGAGGAAAAAGCTTATAGATCTGCTATTTAAACAAACAGCATGTTTATTACTTTATCTAGATTTGTTTATTTACTAATAATAGCCTAATGTAAAATATAAAGTAGGCCGTTTGTGTTGGGTACACCTTGCGGTATTGGGGATGAGTCGTCTGCAAATATCTCATTAATTTGGACGTCCCCATGTATTCCTTATCAAGATCTTTGATGCACATAAAATACTATGGCTGGCTCAGGGACTCTTTGCTTCGAGAAAATGGAATAAAACCATAGCTTAGGCAACGATCTTGGTATTTCCTGCATTTCAAGTTTCTAGTATTGCTAGCGCTGCGACCTGAAATGTTTGGAGCTCCCTTACCTGAGTCCAGTATGCTTGGATCATTACTATTAGCTGCTGTAGACGAATCAGTGAGACTGGATCTTTTTATGTGGAGGATGAATTACAAATGTGTCCATTATTTGGTCAGCCAGGGGATGAAATGAACTAAGGCAACATGATTGTTCTCCTAATTGTCGACTGCAAAATATGTTTAATTTTAAAGAAATTATGAGACAGAGCTTGCTGAGCCCCCCCCTGTTGGGAACGCTGCTGTAAAATACAAGCCTACACAAAAACCTAGCAAGAAATTCGCTATTTTAATAAAAACTTGCAAGGAATTGGTATCTACTAGAGAGGATTGGCTGCATCAGGTCATATCTACAGTACCTCTGGGAAGAAAAGCTGGTTTGTTGTCGACAGTTTCTCCTCAGGTTTCTCTCCTTTAAAGACAAAGCTGAGATTTCGGTTTATGTTCACCAGCTGAACAGGACCTGGTGAGAACAAGCAAAAAAATCTGAAATGTTAGTAAAGACACTGATGTGATGGTTATTTCATAATGTGTTTGTTTTCTGTGGCATGGGATGTTTGTGAATTTTTCAAAGACTGAATTATTAAAAATGGCGCCATCTGCTGGCTCAGATTGCTCTGTATGAAGCTATTTACAGGTGTCAAACTCAGTTCCTGAAGGGCTGCAGCTCTGCCCAGTTTAGTTTTAACCCTAACACACCTGATCGAACTTAGTAAGTCCTTCAGGCTTAGTACAGTAGTACAGCACTGCGAAAAGAGGCGGGATTAAACAAGATGATT